GACGGGCGGCGCACACCTGCCGTCCCGGAGGGGGCTCCCGGGAAAGGGCCGTGGGCGGGGGGGGGGGCTGTCTCCGCCCCGCGTCTCGCTCGCCTTCGCTCCCTCCTTCCCCTTGGCCCTCCCTTGTCCTCGGGGGGGCTGTTGTCATCTTTGTGGGGTGCCTGGGGGAGGCTGTCGCCGGCGCCCCCGGCGTGCCGGGCTCGGGCAGCACTTCCGCAAACGTAATTGGAGTCGGGGAAAACAAAGGCGCTACCCCGGGATCTGTGACGGACGCCAGCCACTGCTGCCCAAGGTGGGAGATGGGGGGCGGAGGGGGGTTGGATCCCCAAAGTCCAGGCCCCTCTGGGCCCCCACCCGTCTGGCGCCCTCGCAGTAAACATCCCTGGGCAGGGGAGGGGGGCGGTGAGACTCTCCACGTAGCCCCAGTGACAAGGACATGGCCACTTGTGTGGGAGAAGGAAATTGACGTGGGCCCCTGTCCAGGTGAGTAAATGCCTCTTGCTGTGGCCTGCCGCCATCGGAGGAGAAATGCTGCACCTTGTGCTGGTGTGCTTGAACTTGGTGATCTGTCCTGGAGCTCATTTGAAGATAGTGATTGGGGGTGGGGTACGGGGAGGTTGTTGTTAATCCTTCTGGGTCCTATCGATTTCATAGACAGTCATTTGAAGTCGGAGAGTGAAAAATCCCATACACAACTTTCCCTCTCCTCCTCCGGCTCCCAAGAGGCCACGCAGGTGGATTGATTACCTTTGAGGCTGGTACACAGTGCTTTTGGTCTCTCCCACACACATTGGAAACCACAAACATTTCCTTCCATCTCAGAGCATTCAGTGAGCACCTCACAGAACCACTGAATATCTGGCGTCTTAGGAGAGAACCTTACCGAGTTGGAGTTCCTATTTCAACTGGTGTCTAGTTTTGTGTCTTGGGTGTGTCGCATGGACCTGGACTCCAGTTTCTCTAATGTCAAAAAAAAAAATGGCTGGATGGTGTAAGACCCAATTTCCCCTTGACCTTTCTAAGAAGTCCGTGATACTGTGTAAATCTAACCTCTTTCATGCAGATAAATGTGAAGAGTGGGTGGGCGCAGAGTTTAGGGATGACAAGCAACGTGTAATAAAAGGAAATGAATATTTGGTACGTCTGTAGTTTGGGCAGAACATTCCTACAGGGCACTAGCCAGCGAAAGGTGTATGCATTATGGATGACCTTGTTAAGTAAAAAGAGAGGGTAGAATCATTCGCCTTGGGAAGCTTGGCTTTTGACACTTCAAGCTGCTGGTCATTAGCAGACATGGAGGGTATTTTCAGCTATTCAGTGGCAATAGGATGGATGGCGATGATGGTTATTATGGGTTGTAAGTAAAATTTTGTGTTTTGCTGAGGAAAAGGTGAAATTATTGTTAAGGCCCCTACCTTTTTTCAAGACATACTTGAGTACAAGCGGATCATATTTCGATAATTCATTAAAGTTACAAAGTGTGTATATATATTTATATATAGTAATTTATTTCTAAGGTGTTTTCCATGCCTATTCAAGTAAGGTAAATATAAAAACATGAAGGCAAACTGAAACACAAAGACAAAACAATACGGTTTGCATGTATTTGGTGGGGTACGAAATCACCAATGACAGCTTATATAATTTCTGCAATATTAACAGGAATAAGGCACTTTTTGAACTTTTACTATGTTTAAGATACTGTCTTAAATGAGTTAATTTCTAAATCTCTGTGAGTTGTCATTCTCCTAATTTTGTGTCTGATATAAAGGAAACTCAGAAAGGTTAAACAACTTACCCAAACCCTATAATCAGTAAGAAGTGGAATTAGATTTGACTCTGGCTCTGGCTCCAAAGCACAGGAAATTTCCACATGGTGTCCCTTCCTGTTCAGTACCCATTAAGCCTCACCACCTACACAGATGCTTTCCTTTGCTATTTGCCCTTGAAAATGAAAACTTCCACATAACATGCATTTCATATGGTGGCATTTATCCATGTAAGATAATCTCTATGCTTATGCATGTGTACTTTCATTTTTCTTCCATTTATAGATGACAAGCAATATAAAAGCTAATACCACAAAAGATAAATTTTATATTAGGCTAATGATGGACTTTTTTGTTTACTTCCTCTGATACTAAGTAAATCTTGATTTAACATTCTTATTGTGGGGAAAGGGAAATATTTTAATCTTTATATGATCGCTAGAAATCAAGTATATTAGGTAAAAAAGAGCAAGTTGCAGAAGAGATGTATGTACATTTACTCAAGTCTTCAGGCATATAGCTCCAGTCCCTCAACTATTCAAAGTTACCACCCTAAAAAAGTTTGGGCTTAAAAAATTGGAACAAGTTTATGTTCTTTTATCATATAAACTAAAAAGAAGAAGAAAAAGGGCTGGGAAGGTGGCTCAGTGGTAGAGCACTTGCCTTGCATGCCTGAGGCCCTGGGTTTGATTCCTCAGCACCACATAAGCAAAAAGAAAAAAGGCGGAAGTGGTGCTGTGGCTCAAGTGGTAGCATGCTAGCCTTGAGCTGAAGAGCTGAGGAACAGTGCCCAGGCCCAGAGTTCAGGCCCCACGACCGGAAAAAAAAAAAAAAAAAAAGAAGAAGAAAAAGAATAGAATTAATTCACTTTTTAAAAAATCCAAGCTGTGGCTCAAGTGATAGAGCTCCAGCCTTAAGTGAAAAAGCTAAGGGGAAGAGCTCCAAGGCCCTGAATTCAAGCCCAGCACTACTATGCATGTGCACGTATACACGCGTGTGCGCACACACACACATACACATACACAAAATAATTGAAATTGAATGAGCCTTACTTCTGTAGTGTTGTTAAGGAAATAAAACTGAAGAGATCAAAGAGAAAGTTGGTGTTCAGGGAAAAGTTGATGTTCAAAAAATAGTCTCAAATGACTGACTTTTACCCTTCTAGCATATTAGGCTGCTCATTAGTGTTCCTTCTCAATGAGAATACTTTGGTGCATAGCAGAGTTTGTGTTGAATACGAATCCTTTTTTCTTGGTCTGGGTTGTGTGTAGAAGCATGGAAGCATTTTTCTTTGCAGAGCCATCTGTAACATGTAGGAGTCAGAACAGTCAGTTTACCTGCTGTGCCATCTCTGATGACTTCAGCTTAATTATTTTTAGAAGTTTAATTTCAGGAACAGCAAATTATCAAGCCAATCTAGTCTGATGCATATCTATTAAATATAATACCATTGTTCTCCCTAGATCTATGTAAAATTAACAAAAATCAATGCTTAGAATCTTCAGATCCTAAAATTAATCCAGTTTACTGTTCAGATTTAGAACTCCAGAGCCAAATATATCCAGGCTTTTTGGAATCAAGAAAACACACTTTTCTTGTATTTTTTTTACATGAAGGAAATCCAAATGAACTTGATTTATAATAAATGTGGTAGGCAATCCAAAAGGAGGTCATTATGAAGTTTTTGTATAGGAGATATTCTGACAATTTTAAGTGTCATCCCACATGTCATTATATATTTCATTTATATTATTTTCAAGTTATGTTTCAGATAGAAAAAAATAACATGGGCTGGGAAGGTGGCTCAGTGGTAGAGTACTTGCTTTGCATGCATGAGGTCCTGGGTTCAATTCCTCAACACCACATAAGCAAAAAAGCCGTAAGTGGTACTGTGGCTCAAGTGGAAGAGTGCTAGCCTTGAGCTGAAGAGCTCAGGGACAGTGCCAGACCCAGAGTTGAGGCCCCTCAACTGGCAAAACAAAACAAAACAAAACAAAAAACCTCAGTCCTTTAATTAAGAAGCTCTATTAAGTCAAGTTCAAAATCCTACCCTAGTACAAAGCCAGGTTTCATGAAATAAAACAAAACTGTCTTCTTCAAAGAAATAGCATTTTCTAGAGCACATCATTTTGCATTGCTGGGAGAAGAAAGCATGTCTGATGTGAATTCTCTGTAGAACAATGAAAACAACTTATTTTATCTACCTAGAATAGCCCATTTGGCATCGTAATTCCTTCATGGTTAGTTACTCGACAGAAGCTGTCTGTGGCCATTTACTAGTCTGACATTTAAGGATGAATGGGGCTTATGTCAGTCTGATATGTTTTCCTAAATCCTGAATGACACACTATCCAGTACATGGGCCTCTCGGTGGGCTCTGTACCTTTTGCTTTGTACCTGTTTAGATCCTCTGTTTAGAAGGCATTTATTTACTGTTTTGAAAAGTAGAATTATCTCAGGTTCACTGGTTGGCCAGCTTTTGGAAACTACTGAAGTCCTTTACTAAAGTTTGATTTGTTGGTTCAGAGGCCAAAAAAGTAATTAAAAACAATTTAAAAAGTCAAGAAATTCATTCTTGAGTATAGGTGACATACATTGGAATGTGTCTGCTGTCAGCCTTAAAAACTAGTTGTTATTTGGATCAGTAAAAAAAAATGCATGCACACCCCATCTCCCAAACACATACACACATGCATGTCTACCTCAGCATCAACAAAAGCCTGTTCACCTGTGCTGTGATCATGGCAGTGGCCATAAGCTTTGGCACAGTGCAATGTAAATGTGGCTAAGCCATGATAAACTAATGAGTGTTTGAAGGCATGTTAAAAACTGGGAAATACAAATGAGATATCTGTATAACTTTATGGCCAGGTGGTCCTATTGCATTTTAGGATAGTGGGAGGTAGAATGGAAAATGATGGGGCAAAGATGAAAGAAAGTCAGGCTTCTAGAAAAGCATACTTACGAGGTATGACAAAGCATAAATTAAGGGAGGCAGGGACATCTTACTTGACAACCGTTCTGAATATGTTTGAAAATGGAAGACTAATTCAGGAAACAGTTTGCAAATAGAAAATAGGAAAGTCCAACTGTAACTGTGAAAAATAAATGTTTAGAAGTGTTTTGGTCTGAGACCAAAAGAGACAGTGGGGAAAAAAGAAGGGGGATGGGAACATGGTGAGTCAGCTGTGGCTGGAGGGAGCTCTGTGTGGCTTTGTGGAGGATAAAAAGGAGAACTAGAAAGAAGAGCTGGTGCTGTCTGAACAAGTCTGATTTGTGGGTTCACCATGCCAAGGGAAAGTGAATGACGAGTCTGGACTGATACCTGGCTGCCTGTGTGAAGTTACAGAGAACCTTCACTCCACATCAGGTGCTCTCTACTTTGCTCAGGTCTGGCCCTGCATAGGCCTCAGTTAACTCATGCACTATCTGTGCCTTAAGCCCATGCACACCATTGGAGGAAGAAGGAAACTAGGCCAGCAGAACCCAGCAATGGTGGGAGCAGTGCATCCTATAATATGAG